TTGTTCATCTTCCTTTCCCCTCTATTGGGTTCTCCATGTGGCCCTCAGCAGCAGCTCCAGATGGTAACCTCCCTGTTACCCATCCCTCACCTTCCATGAGGGAGCCCACCTCGAAGACAAGGCTCATCAGAATGAACTCAGCCCCTGGATCTTCTGCCTACGTGGAGAGCTGAGTGTGCTCCTTTCCTTTCTCTTTCTTCTCCATCACCGACACCAATTGCTGTGTTGTTCTGGACAGTTCACCTGGCAGTCATAGCTGCCATGGCTCCTTCTTCCCTGCTGCATGATAAACACGCCCAATACTCAGTCACTCAATTTTTTTTAAAAGAAGTTTCCTTCAACCCTATCTCTCTCAAAGCTCCCAGCCATTCTGTGTATTCATTAAGCATGTTCACACGGTCCACATTGCTTGTCATAGCCATGTGTCTCCACACCTACCACAGCCAATTTTGGCTTCTGCTCTGCTCCTTCTTATCCAGGGTAGCTACCACTGACGTCTAATTTTTAGACCTCCTTATTCATTCCCTGTCCACCTCTGGGCAAGAGAGGAGGAGGATGGTCAAGGTGACCTTTAAGAGGGAATGCTGGTGCTCAGCTCTCTGGTGTTTTCACAGAGAGAGCCTGAAATTGCAGACAAAGACGTTTCTCATCTACCAAGCTGCATATTTTTACTTGGATATTTAAAAAAGCAATATCAAGCTCTGAAAGAAAATGTAACATCGGTGCCAAATCAGATGAGAACTAACACTTGGTATCAACAGGAATATATTTGAATTTAAAAAGGCTAGCTGCATCTGACAGCAATGTGTCTCTGCTACTGAAAGTCTGCGCTGGGTGGGGGAGGGGGGAGAACGTCTCTCCATCCATCCATCCATTTCTCCCACAGACGTTTATTGAGTCCTGACTCACAGCCAGGTTCTGGGTATGGCATTAGGAAGATAAAAATGAATAAGACAAAGAGAAGCATGTGGCACTGTGGTTAAGCAATGGCACTTTGGGAATTGCAGGGCTCTGCAACTCTTCCGGAGCTGTGAATGCTGGACAGTTAGTTATGTACCTTTTCACCAAGGACTCAAATTTGGTCTAATAGCAGTTACTTTTCAGATGTCTGTTAGGATTCTAGTGGATCTAATGATGATCCTCCACCACAAAGATAAGAGGACATCTGTGCATATGTTCTTGCTTGAAAGAAGAGACTTTGCAGATGTTATTAAGAATATTGAGATGAGATCATTCCTGAGTGAGGGAGAAAGGCTCCTAAATCCAAGAACTCACATCCTTAGAAGAGATCAGGAGGGGCTAGAGATTTTGCCTATTATGTCCAAGTGCTGGGTGCAATCTCTAGCACTGTTACACACATACATACAAAAAGGGAGAGGAGGAAGGAAAAGAAGACAGAAGACAGCATGAAGTATGAGGCAGATAGGGATAACATAATCATAAATTAAGGAACACAAAGGGCTCTGTCCACAGCCAGCAAAAGCCAGGAAAGCTGTATGGAACACACTATCCTAGAGCCTTTATAAGGAGCCTGGCTTCCAGAACAATAGAATACATTTCTGTTGCTTTAGGCCATCAAGTTGGTGTTCATTTGTTCCAACAGCCCTGGGAAAACTATCTGAGATATGGAGACATATTCCTGGAACGTAACAAGTCTTTCTTATTTATTAAAGCAGGGAAGAGATGGGGGCTAGTGTGCAAATTTATTTCTTGTGACATGTAGAGTCAGGGAAGGCTTCACATGGTCTGAAGTGACATTCAGGCTGAATCCTAAAGGGCAGGTGATTCCAGAAGGCGAAGGAGTCAGCACTGAAGCACATGCAGGGTGACTGGTCTGGAAATGGACTGACATTTCAGGAAATGATGAGCACTTTACTTGGAGGCATCTTATGAACTCTGCAATGAAGGGTTCTTCCCTACTCACCCAGCTTTGGAGCTTCTGGAAACCTATTTTCTATGTGTTCTGCAGTTAAGGCTGCAGAAGGGAAGAAAGACCAAGGCAGACAGCTCTTTACATAGCTCCTCTGACAAAATGTAATTAACAGGGTTGAAGCCTTCTTTCCTAAGGGCTTTAAGAAATACCAGCTTAGCCAGCCCAGTCAATACAGAACAGAGTCCTCTATTGGAACTTTGCTTTGAGATCTTTCTTACTCTCCTTTAGCTTCTATTGGGACTTGAACTCAGGGCCTGGTTGCTGTCTTTTTTTGTTCAAGGCTGGTGCTCTGCTAGTTGGGCCACATCTCCATTTCCAGCTTTTTGGTGGTACATTGGAGATAAAAGTCTTAGGGACTTCCTGCCTGGACTGGATTTAAACTGCTGGGATCCTCAAATCCCAGCCTCCCGAGTAGCTAGGATTACAGGCATGAGACACTAGCACCTAGCAAAGCTTTGGAATCTTTTGGCTCAGGAGGCTCAGTTAATTAAAACAATGCATTCAGCAAACTCATCTTGAGTTCAGTTGGCATTGCTTTTCAGTGGGGAGAAACAGCTTTCCTCTTTAATAAAAAGCCCAACATCCCAAGTATCAATGGCTGAAGCAAACATCTTTCCCTCCTCTAACCCCATGTGCAAACAAAAAATCCAGGGCTCCTAGAAGGTTTTTTGTTTTGCTTTAATTCTATGTTTATTTCTCTGAGAGTTGTGGCATGACACTGGGCAAATAGTGAATAAGGATTCCTGCAAGGAAAGACGGTAGTAATTTTCAGTTTAAGCTTAAGTCACCAAGTATGTAGGAGTATCCAATTTCTTTGTATGGCTCCTAAATCAAATGTTTCCTTAGATGGTCAGAAAACCCATTCACTCACAGCACCACATCCCCCCCCACCCCCACCCCCACACCACAGCATCAACAGAGAAGTGTGTCCAATGCTTCCAGAGAGGAAATGGAAGGTCTAGCAAGTCCTACCTCTGCCATTGGAAAAGCCATATTGTCCAAATGCTCCATCTCTACCCTATTTGTCAACAACATCAAGTTCCACTTTTGTTCTTATACAGGGACCAGTACCAAATAGTTGCTAAGAAATACTGACCCAGGTACCTGGCTGATGCACAGCATCTCGTTTTCAGAGAATTTATAGGTTCTCTGCTGTTCCCTTAGCTTTTGATTGTGGCAGAAGCTAGTAGCTAATCTACTCCTTGGTAGATCAGAATCCATACACTTCCCCATTCTCTTGTGAGTAGGAGGGGTCATGCAGTGTGATTGCAAGTGAGGTGTGCCATTACCTGGATGCAGCCTTTGAGGGGTTAGAATACCTCCACGCTCTCAGTAGTGACCCTGGGTAATAGTATCCCCAGATAAGAAGAGCTTAGATTCCTGAGTTACAAGGGGAAAAGGAATCCTACAAATCAACCCTGGGAAGCAAGCCTCCATTGGACTAAGCCCAAGATGTCAGGAACTGCTATAGAGGACCCCTATTATGACTACTTTAGGTATAAATTCCATTTTCTCACCATAAAACCAACTGGGAGGATAGACATTGTTCACAATGTGCAACGGAGCTGGAGAGAACAGTTGTGTGGCAATGGAGTCCACCTTTATAGGACAGGAGAAACTTCTCAACTCACAGCCCTAGAAAAGGCTGAGTATCTCTTATGATGATAAGTGACTTAGGAAGAATGGGAATCCTCTTATTTATCTGCCTGCCTACCAGGCAAGCTTAGACCCAAACAGGTGACTTATATCAAGCTTCACAAGAACATTTTACAACTCACAACTAGAATCACTGTGCTTCCCGCTGCAATCCTAATTTATCCAACTTAGTTTCCTTTCTACGCAGCTTTGTCAGTGTCTTCATGACTCTTTTCTGTTTCCATACAGATTCTTTTGGCAAACCCGATACAAGACAGGAGGAAAGGTGAGGTTTTTAGAATGAACCCTGAAAAAAAATTATCATGAGCCATTTGATAGGAGCAAGCCAGTCCTCAGTTTAACAACAAAAACTGTTGGTTGAAATTTTACTCCACTGGGTTTCATGAATATTCATCTTCCCCCCTGATTTAAAAGAGACTAACGTTAAAAAAAAATAAGTGGTGGTAATTTGTACAGGACACACAGGTAGATAGCTTGTAGCTATTTGGTTTAAGGGATGTGTGAGGCCTTTTATTTTGAAAGGAGTGTGCTCATGGACCCAATGGTGAGACTGAAACACTGGCTCTTTCTCTGGGAGCTTCAAACATCACTTTGGTTCCCATTTTAGATGGAAAACATTCCCCCTGTAACACTCCTTGATAAACACTTGATGTGGAAACACTAACATTTCATAGCACTTGCTCACATCTTACCTGGCTTTACCTTTGGTCTTGCCCACCTGCGGCCATTCACTGGCTTGAATTAGTTCTCAGGGCATGCACTGGAAGGTCCGGTTGCCTTTGCTCCATTGTCTATCTTTGTCAGATCCACAAATGACTTACCACAGATGCTCATAGACACATGTGAAAAAAATTCTTTATTAATTTCTCACATTTCATTACAAAATGTATGTTGCAAACAACTTGAATAACCTACTTGTGGTTTTTTTTTTTATTTTTTAAACCCTTGGCTTCAAGGATTCAGAATCCCCCTCCCTTTCATCAAGTATTGGGAAACACTGACTACTAGAGTCAATAGGTCATCATTTTGCTATTTATTCTCTTCTCTCAAGCTCTGAAAAAAAAAAGTCCTCTGTATAAATTAAACATCAACAAAAAAGGGTTGTAAATTCTATGTCATTACAGTCAACAAAATTATAATAATGCATACAAAATGTGCGGCCACAAAATATCAGATATATGTTTGAAAAAGAACAAAAAATGACATTCTAGCCTTGTTAAAAGGATAATGGTCCCATATTTTTATTAACAGGTTAGCAAAACAAAATCCAATGGATTACAGTATTTACATGTTATTTGAAAAATAAAGTAGTGATAAAAGCATGTCACAATTATTTTCTTTTTTTCCTTTTTCTTCCTTTTTTCTTCTTTTTTTTCTCTTTTTCATTTGTAGTTTTTCATTTGTTTTTTAAGTTTTTTCTTTCTGTTTTTTTTTTGGTAGCCATTACAAACACCCAATCCAGGTATGAAACTGTTTAGCACATTTGAAATGAGGCCAATTAAAAACAAATATGGACACAAAAATGAATCATGAATCTTTGTCTAGAGTTCACACTTCCCCTTTTTCTGATTTCCATATGATGGCCCTCATCCCTAAGGGAAAAAAATTAAATTAAATCTACAAATAAAAATTCTTAACAGCAAGAAAATAAAGAACATGCTTTTCAAGTAAGCAATCATTCCACAAATGCAACATCTTCCATGGATTTTCTTTGAAGCTGTGTGGGACATGGTCATCCCCTGCCCTTCCTTCCCTTCCCTCCCCCTCCCATTCCAAGTTAAAAAAAAAAAACACCACCAAAATCATGAAAACCAAGACTCATACATGCACGTGTGTGAACACATTGGCACACACATGCGCATGCACACAAACACGCGCACGCGCACACACACACTCACAAACACACACAAGCTCACACACCAACTTCTAAAACCTAGGGTTTAAGAAAAGTTCTTTCCTACTTTTTGGAATGAAACTCTTTTGTTCACAATCAGAACATATTATAAATGTAGGCTTAGCTTCAGTTTAAGCTGCTTCCTCCAGAAAAAGTGAATACAAGGAAACAGAGCAGCTGACAACTAAATTTAAAAACAAAAACAACAAATCAAAAAAGTAGTTCTCCAGGCTCCTTGTAGTTTATCTATCATTTCTTGTCCACTCTCGCCAAAGGGAACAGACTCTAGCATGTCCCCCTTGGTCCCCCAAACAAATGAGTAACCCCTACAAAATACATTGCAAACAAAAGTCAGCCATCCTAAGAAATTATGGATGTGAGACAAATAAGGTGTTAATTTGATAAACAACAAAAAGAGTGAAGAGGACCTCTTTGCCTGGCTATAGATGGTATAGCTGTGCTGAAAGTTTGGTTCTATCATTAAATTAAAAAGAAAAACAAAAGAGGTTAACTTTTTTATGTTGTTATTTCCATGTTTAAAATAAAAACATTCCTATTCACAAAGAAACTAAATCTCCCTTGCCCTCGAATTAAAACAGTAACAAACAACACACACATACACATACACACACAAACAAGTAATGAAAAAAACCTTGTGCTGTGTTTGTAACACTCAACTGGATAGAAAATAAACAGGTGGCAAACAAAATGCCACCATCACCTTAAAATTAGTTCACATGAAGCTACTGAAATCTAAATTATAGTTGAACACGAATAAACAGCTTACCTGGAGTAAGGATGACCATTCACAAACAGTGATCTAATAATTAAAGTCTGTTTCTGTTTTTTTGTTTTGTTTTGTTTTTTACTAAAATAATTAAAAAAATCACAGTATTTTAAGAAATAAAACCCACACGGGGATTTTAAGCACAATTTGTGTTCCTTTCTTTAAAACTCTTTTTATTTCCCCCTCCATTCACCATCTTGCCCAGCAGTTCTCTCTACATTTAACCACAGGACGACAGGTAGTACTGAGAAATGCAGAGAATTCCCTTGGTTAAGTTTGAGGTACTAGGAAACAGGTGACTGTTTTATGCAAAGCAGTTCTTTTTTTGTTTTCTGGTTTTTATTTTTTTTGTCTTGTTATTATTATTATTATTTTCCCCAAAGCGGCTGCAGTTAGGTCTTGAAAAAGCTTAAGGTATTAAAACTAGAAAAACGCACAGAAAGTTGTGCGCCAAAAAGTTGTTCCCCTTGGAGACGTCTTCCACTGTCCCGGAGCGTGTGTTTCCGTAGACTGTCCAAGGGGACCATGGAACGCACCGTGCCCACAGAAGGTATTCCCACATCCGCAGCGGAGGAAACTTCCATGGTGAAGATCCAGAAGAAAAAGATGGAGTGATGGAAAAGGAGCCACATATTCCAACCATTTAAATAACTTTAATTTACATACTCACTCACACAGGTACCAGTGCTTTGAAAATAGATTGTTCAGTCCCTAAAAAGCAGCTTTGTTCTGTCTTCTCTCTTTCTTTATTTCTTTATTTTTTTTCTGTCCCTCCCTTCTCAGCCCATGCCAGCCCTCCCACTTTCTCATCATGGGTTAAGTCAGGTTTGATTAAGAATTTCAACAAAACTCTTATTCGTTTTTGGCCTCTGCATCCTCCAGGAGAGATTTGTCGGCAGTTACGACACAGATGGCTACCGTTTCACTCTTTAGGGAAAAGTCTATCCCAATTGGCTCATCGTCTTCCTTCTCCTCCATGGAGATAGGTATCTTCAGCATGTCCTCCATCATTTCTTTTGGGTGCACCTCTTCTCTGCTTATTTGCTTGGTGTCATTCAATGCCCTGAGGGATGGGGATGGAGGGGAGAATCGCAGAAGAGGCAGTTCAGTATGCATGCATTTCCTAATCAAATAAACAAGACTTCAGGGCTCTCATAGTTCTCAAAATCTTAAAGGAGCCTTGGGTTTATTTTGATACAAAGCTCTGGGTGTCTATGAGTCAGTTGCCAGTGATATATCTTTGCTGTCTGCTCTGCGTGGGATATGTATTTCTGTATCGTTCAAACCTACAAAAATATCCATTATTAGCGTATGTTTTGATTACACCATGTTTTTGTTTCCAGACTAACATAATAGTTTCATGTCATCTTTTCTGAGTCATAATAAGTAGAACGCTAACAAGGATTGTCTTGTGCTCAAATGCTTCAGCTGATTCCAGAAGCTTGGAGATTGGCTAATATTTATTAAGCTAAAAAGAGCATCTTAGATATCGGAACCTTTTTTTTTTTTTTTTTTTGGGACAGGTCCATAACTAAGGCCACAGAAATAAACAAAAAGCAAAAGCCCTGTAGACAAACCTGTATCTCAGGAAACTTTGCATTCTCAGAAATCTAGGCATTTGAGGTTTCAGGGCCTATTCTAATTTCCTTCTGTGTCTTGTAGACCAAAGGCATCTTGCCAAAGGGATGAATCTATGTTCAAGCAGCTTAGACTAAGTATCTACAAAGGAAGGCTCTCACCTACTTGGGAGGAAAGATAGAAACTGACTCTGTTCCTTGGACTCATGCCCAGTACATGTGTAAGTTCAAAGCCACTCAGGGAATAGACAGTCACAGAGGCCAGAACAGGAGTTAGATGTTTAGAGTCAAATTCATAGCCAGGCACTGGTGTCTCACTCCTCAAAACCTAGCTACTCAGGAGGCTGAGATCTGAGGATCATAGTTCAAAGCCAGCCTGGGAAGGAAAATCTGTAAGACTCTATTGTCCAAGTAACCACCAAAACCTAGAAGCAGAGCTGTGGCTCATGTGGTAGAGCACTCAGCTTTGAGGAAAAAAGCTCAAGGACAGTTCCTAGGTCCTGAGTTCAAGCCCCAAGACTGGTATACACACAAAAAAATTCATGTTCTTGCATAGAAGGTAATACTAATAAATATGTAAGGGAGATAGGCTAGAGAAAATGCTATACTTCTGCATTGACTTATGTAGGACCTATCATTCTTTCTTTTCTTTTTTAAAAAATTTTATTGTAAAGGTGATGCACTGAGGGGTTACAGCTTCATAAGTAAGGTAATGAATGTTTCTTTTTGAACAGTGTTACCCCCTCCCTCATTTTCTCTCACTCCCCACCTCCCCATCCTTGGCTCTCCTCTCCAAGCTGTAAGGTTCATTTCCAATATATTGCAATGGTTTCCTTCATGAGTTGTGGCTGGGTGGCCATTTTCAAATTTAACAGAGGAGAAACCTGGTCTTTCTCCCACTTTCTGACACAGAACCCTGACTTCCTTTCCCAAGCATCAACCGTGGGACAAAGGACTTACATGCCATGTCTCAACACATGTCTCTCCCACTCAGAGCCCTGTGAAAATGCCCGTCCACAGAATTCACATGGAAAACGCTTCTCGCTGTTCACAGGCACTCCATGGTCTGAGAATCCCATCAGCTCTGCAAAGAGAAAGCAATAGTGTCACCCTATCACTGGCATGCCATATGAACATGAACGTGCAGAGATAGGTCATCCTTCACCAGTGAACCTGTGCTCCTCACCTGGGAAGCCACAAGGAGAAAGTGCATTCCAGACTCCCCAAGACAGCACTTAGGACCTCCCCAAAGGGCACTTCTTGGATAGCTCCTAAGAGCAGTTCCAAGTCTCCCCATGTCTCCTTACCCCACCCCCCCAAATCTCCCATCACTAATAGTCCAAGGCATTCTTGCCAGAAGAAGCCCTCTGTCCACTCCAATGGCTCCTGAGCATTTCTTCTCTACTTGGGTCGCTCTCTCTCTCCTGGTTTTTCTTCCATCTCAAGGCCCATAGTTTGACCTCTACTCACTTACTAAGTGTGACCCCAGACAATGAGGGATTCTGGCCAGCTTCCCACATCAGCTTGTCAATCAGTGCTACTCACAATTGTGGGGACAGATGATAGTTCTGGACAGGTCTGTGATAAACATCAAATATTAAATTCTTTGTTCTCCATAGCTCTGGACACATGTTAGGGGCTTGGACAAATCTGGATTGGCTGGCAAATTGTTTTGAAGACACACCCCTTAGAAACTCAGATATTTATATGGCCTTTGTGCTATCCTGAGTCCCAAGTCCATATGTCTTTCATTAGATCACAGAGGGACAAGTCTTTGTGTGGGTAATGAACAGCAAGACTAGTCAGTTGTGTAGCCAGGCTGCAAAATGAGGGAAGCGTATGGGGAAGCGGGATCATCTTTACATGTGAGACCATTCTGGACCCATGCATACAAGGTGATGATACAGGCACATCTCCTGATTGACACGCCCCCATTTAATAAAATCCTCCCAAGTCAGATGCTCTGGGACGCCTTAATCTTCCGCACAGAACGCCATGTGAACAGGGCCAGTTTTCACAAAAGATGAAACATTTTCTCACAAATTAAGAAGATCACCACACAAGCCATTAAAAATAATTGCACAGACTATCTTCCTTGATTCTTTTCATTGGAAATGAGACAGCACCATCTGCTCTGCGCATTAATTCCTTAGCAGGGATTATCTTGGGCAAGAAATCAACAGAATGCCTTCCTGACTCCTCCCAACTGCATAATGAGAGGGGGCGGGGTGGGCAGCATTCTGCTTGGGTTCATTTTGATTTTCCTCATGCCTGGTTCTTTCACTTTTCCTCTGAGCTTTCTTCCTATACAAGCCCTGCCCCATGTCTACGTTCTGGGTTTGGAAAGGAGCTATAAGGACAGCTATAAGGACGTGGACTCGCGAGATTGAGGGTGTGTGTGATGAAAGTCTAACGTGTCAACAAGGAGAGTATTCCGGTGCACTTGCTCCTTTTCCCCTAGGAAACATGAAACCAGTCATCTATTGTAGCCAAGGGCACATGCTAAGTTGCATCCTCAAAGGAAGAGGCCACCCATTACCTGCCACACTTCAAATTGCTCTCAATCAGCCTGAGAGCTAGGATAACTCCACCTCCTACCCTCTACTCCTAGAAGCCAGAATGTCTGGCAAAAACACCCTAAGGCTATTGTCTGCTTGGCAAGAATATTGATTTTAGGGCCACTCAAAGGAGATGGAACAAAGACAGCTGTTCTTATGAGGATGACGGGTGAGGGGAAAACAAAGGCTTTAGCTCACAATTCCTACCAATGTGGTTTAGAAGCTACAAATACATGCTTCTCCGTGCAGAACTTTTCTGCTTGTGGTACAGGCTCAGGAATGTGAATGCTCTCCTCTCCACTGAGAAGCAGACATCATGAAGTGCTTTCTAGTGAAGTCTGGTGTGGAGTCTAGTGTTAACAAGAGACCACATAGGGTAGTCAGGGAAAATGCCTGCACACATCACCAATGCCATTCTGTCTCTTCTCATTTCTTAAGGCTTTATTTATTTATGTGTTTAGGAGTCACAGGGAAAGAAGGAACTTCAAGGTGGTTTTGGAGGGTTTTTTCCTCCCCTTCCTCTGTAATAATTTCAAAAATAACCTGTGCTTTACTTTAGAGATTAAAAATAATCATGAGAGCCAATGAGGAATAATTTATTTCTCAAAGAGGAACAGCAGGGTCACAGAGCACCACGAAGAAGGAACCTTTGTACTCTCTTTCAGAAGCACTCTTTCCCAGAGTACTTTTGTAACAGTGCACAGATGTTAAAAATTCCTTGTGAAGAACCTAGTTATGAAAAGGTCTTAAAAAAGAAGAAAAGAAAAAAAAGCCATCTCTCTCTTTTTTGGGGGGGTGGGTAAGAAATGGGTGAATATAGTCTCTTTAACACAAGTACACTTTAGGCCAGGTGCCTGTGACTCACACCTATAATTCTAGCTACTTGGGAGGCTGAGCTGTAAGGATGGAGGGTTGAAACCAGCCCAGGCAGAAAAATCTGTGAGACTCTCTTATTCTCTAGTTAACCACTAAAAGAGCTGGAAGTAGAGCTGTGGCTCAAGTGGTAGCTCAGGCCTTGAGTTTAAGCCCTAGGACTAGCACCCCCCCAAAAAAAGGTAACTTACAATGAGGCCCTAAGAGCCACTAAATTCTCAGATTTCAAGGCTAGGTTTCCTTTAATATGCCACTGTACAAGGGATGGGAAAATTGGTAATAGTAGAAGTCTTGTCTTTGGGGAACATAAGACCTAAATTCAACCTCCAGTGTTTTCCTTTATATGTATATAGGTATGTATGTATGTATGCATATGTACATATTCTTATTGTTATGAATGTTTTTATACATTTTATTTTGGACAAGCTCTCAAAATTGTTTAGACCTTCATCTTCTCATTTATAAAATGACAATAATAACATCTACTGCATTACGAGGTGATTCTATGTTCCAGGAACTGGGCAAAAGGCTTAGGTGTTATCACATGTAATTAATTAATTTTAGGAAAGCAGTCCTGAGGTTTGAAGCAGGGCCTTGGACATGCTCAGCAAGTGCTCTTACTACTATAAAACATTTCCAGCCCCCACAATACAACCCAGGGAACTAAAAAAAAAAAAAAAAGGTCCCAAGCAGTCCACAGAATAATGTTGGAGGTATCATATTACTTGACTTCAAAATTTGCTACCAAGCTAAGGTAATCAAAGCAGCATGGGATGGACATAAAAACACACGTGGATCAAGTGAAAGGAACAGAAAGTCCAGAAAACAATACACACCTTTACGGTTGGTTGATTTTTGAGAAAGTTATCAGGATCACACAAAGGGGAAAGGACAGTCTCTTTAATAAACAGTGCCAGGAAACCCATCAACTCAAAATGGATATAAGGCTTAACTGTTATAAAACTACTAGAAGAAAACACGGGCAAAGCTCCATGACATATTGGATATGACCCATAAAGCACAAGTAACAAAAATAGACAAATGAGATTATGTCAAATTAAAAAGTTCCTATGCAGGCAAAGAAACAATATGCAGTGGGAGGGAATGTTTGTAAATGAATCTGTCATGGGTCCATATCCCAAATACATAGGGAATTTAAACAAAAAGATACCATATGTTGGTGAGGAAATAGAAAAAGGTAATCCATGCATAGTCTTACTAAGAATATCAATTAGTATAGTCATTATGGAAAGCAGTCTGGAATTTCCTCAAAGTTAAAATAGAACTACCATAAAAACCAGCCATTGCACTACTACTACGATAGTAATAGCAAATCCTATCACTACCTCCAAAGAAAAAGAAGTATGTGCAAGAGATATTTGTATTCCCAGGTGCACCATAACACAGTACTCATAATAACAAAGATATGGAAACAACTTGAGTGTCCATCAATAAATAGAAAAAATGTGTATATACGAACACACACAAAAACACAGTATATTATTCAGCTTAAAAAAAACAAAAACAAAAGGAATGGTGAGGGAAAGAGTAACAGTGACCAAGAAGAAATGTACTAATTATCTGACCTATTTGACTATAACCCTTATGTACATTACCCTTATAATAACCATAAAAAACCATTAGGTTTGGGAAGGTGGCTCAGTGGTAGAGTGCTTGCCTTGCATGCATGAGGCCCTGGGTTCAATTCCTCAGCACCACATAAGCAGAAAAAGTTGGAAGTGGTGCTGTGGCTCAAGTGGTAGAGTGCTAGCCTTGAGCTGAAGAACTGAGGGACAGCGCCCAGGCCCAGATTCAGACCCCATGACCACCACCACCACCACCAACAACAACAACAAAAAGAGGAATGACTACATGGATGAACCTAGATCATTGGGCTAAAGGAAGTAAAGCACAAACAACACTAACACCAACAAAAACACCAAACAAGTATTAGTCTGGCACCAGTGGTTCATGCCCGTAATCCTAACTATTCAAGATGTTGAGATCTGAGGATTGAGGTTCAAAGCCATCTGGGGCAGAAAAGTCCCTGAGATTCTTATCTCCAATTAAGCACCAGAAAACTGGAAGTGAAGGTGTGGTTTAAGTAGTAGATGGGCAGCCTTGAAAGAAAAAGTCAAGTTAGGAGTGCAAGGCCCTGAGTTCAAGCCCCAGTACTGGCACCAAAAAGAAAGAAAGAAAAAAAAATGTAGTAGAACGGTGGCTATCAAGGGCTAAATTAGGGAACAGAGAGATGTTAGTTAAAAGCTAGAAAATTTCAGCTAAGCAGGAACAATCAGTTCAAGAGATCTATTATAGGACAGGGTAATTATTACTAATATATGTTATATACTTGAAAATTGCTGATTCAATTTTGTGTTCCCACCCCAAAATGAAGTGAGATAATATATTAGCTTAAATTAGCCATTCTACAATATATATTTCCAGGGATTATGTTGTGTACCGTATACTATATGTTTCCATATAGTATATAACTGTTACATATATATGATATAATATGACATATATGTATGAATTAAATACAATATCAGAGTGCAAAATGTGAAACTTTAGTTTAAAAATGTATTTTTCAAGCCAGTTGCTTGTAGCTCATGCCTGTAATCTTTAGTTACTCAAGAAGCTGAGATCCAGAAGATCATGGTCCAAAGTTAGCTTTGGCAGAAAAGTCTATGAGACTCCATCTCTAAAAATGAAAACTGGGTTTAAAGCAAGGTTCAAGTGGTAGACTGCCAGCTGAATACACAAGGCCTTGAGCTTAAACCCTGGTACTAAAAAAAAAGGGGGGGCAATTAACACTACTCTTTTAATCACTGGGCTGACATCTGTAATGTTTATTTCTTATAGTTAGATTATACACATACTTTTGATGTATATACAGTAACTAAAGGAATACATCTTAGCCTTATTTTTGCTTTTGTATAAACAGCCCAAGGAAAGGCCAAATATGTTGAAGAGTATAAAAGAAGAACACCCTATCTTCAACTAAACACTTTTGAAACCTGGTGGGAATTTGGAGAACTCAAAGATTTCATTTCTGGAAGTACATGGTCTAATGCAAGACACTGCCTCTCTTTCTTCTCTTTACAGACTGGACTCAGGGTTTTAGGGAGTTTAGAACAGGGCCTGCAGAGGGGCACATGGAGAACAATCAAGAGGGCTCAAGTTCTTTAACACCTCCCACCCTGGTCCCAGCAGTTACTTTAGAAGAACATTCAACTCCATGTTCATTCATGTTCACCAACAACCCTAGAGCATCACTCACCTTGGTCTCTGTCCATCCTCATCTAAAAATTCTTTAGAGCCTCGTTTTCCTTGTCCAAAAAAAGCCACTATCATATATATGTTAAGCGCACACTTATCTATATCAGAAGGAAAATGTCTGTTTTCCTTAATTTTCTTTCCCTCCCTCCCTTCCTTCCCTTTCTTCTTCTTCTTTTTTTTTTTTTAACAAAGGCACGGCCCCTGATGAGTCTCAAGTCAGTCTGTTCTGCTACTTAACCAAGAGGGATCACTCCTTCTGTTCCTCCCCCAGCAACCTCCTGTCTTCCTTCTGTCTCTCCAAGGACGTACCGGGTACCATCTGCGATTCAGAGAGCAGGGTACCACTAACCTCTGTCTTCAGCCTTGCTGCTCATTTCGTCGTCCTTGTCCTCATCGTCGCTGCTGGAACTCTCCATTTTTTCCTTCATCTGTTCCAGCTGATCCAAGTTAACCCGTCCAACAAGCTCAAAGTTACGGCTTACCTAAGAAAGGTCCAAACAGAAGATGGAATAATGAACCACAGACGGTATGGGGTTTTCCCAACATCTTTTCCTGATGAGTGTGTCTTTTTTTTTTTTTTTTTTAAGTAGCATCCAGCAGTGCAGGAGATAGATCTCACTGCAACTGTCAACTATGGGCCTTCCTGTGTGCCATCCAGCAAGTATTTTTTTTTTTAGTTGAAGTCAAAGGTATGACATTTATAAAGTACTCAAGTTTTGGCTGCTTCTGGAAACAAAAAGACCCTACAAAGGTCCCAGCCTTAAGCAGTGGGAATGACCCCTCATTCCATGACCTTCTGCCCATAGTCTTATCAAATGGGGCTCAGGGATACTCCAGGTCAGACAGAGGACAATAATTTAACTCTTCAACCATAGTTTAAGTGGAAGACAATCTTGTTACTGTTAGCTTACTGTGATGAAGTGAACCACAGCACATGTGTCAAGGCTAGGATTATCTGAGGTAAACACAGAAACTAGCTCCATAAAAAACCCTTTAAAAGTATTAATCATGGCTGGTTCTTATTTATACAAAATGTGGTTAGAATTATGAGAACGTAAGTTTCCTACAAGATTTATCATTGAAAGGAAACAAAAATTTCCACCAAGTCTTTAATGATGTTCTGGCTAGGGTTCTCAGATGAATGGCGGTGTTAAAGTTTTGTCTGGTCACTCATTTCCAGAATCTCTCCAGGTGCATGGATAGAACTATTAGGAAGGATAGGTGGGACAAGAGTCAAGCCAACAAATAGGCTGAGCTACTCCTCTGTAAGGTGCTTTGCTCCCCTTGTTTGGGGACTAGGGGAGGGGACACACATGGTGAGTGAGACGTGGTTCTGGCTTCCAAAGGCCCACCATTGAGTGGAAGAGAGAAGACAGACATCATGAGTTGGATTTCGACTGCCTCAGTAGACCAGTGCAATGAGGGCATAGAAGAGGACAGAGAATTTACAAGACAATTCCAAAATACTCTCTGGGATCAGACTAGAACAAAGATTTGCTGAGCAACACCAATTCCATATGCCTGGCAGATGGGCCTCTGTCATGGACTGTGACAAATGTGAGAGAAAGAGATTCAGAGCAGCAGGGCCACGCGGCAGTCCTATGAAAAGGCTCATCATTGTCTCTACCATGTTGAGTAGAGAATAGGTATATCTAAAAGGGGGAAGAAAACTCAAGAAGGAAACTCTTTTTAAAACAGGAGAAATAAGAATGGGATCCACGAATTCCACTGGTTTTTGAAGACAAGGCAAAAAAAGAAGAGATAACTTCTTGTTCTGCTCATTTAAAAGTTTCAAGAAGTGGCGGGGCACTGGGGGCTCACACCTTGTAATCCTATCCTGGTTTAAAGCCAACTAGGGCAGAAGAATCCCTATGAGACTCTTATTTCCAATTAACCACTCAAAAACTAGAAGTGGCACAGCACTAGCCTTGAGCAGAGAGTCTCAGGAACAGCACCCAGGCCCTGAGATCAAATAAATAAATAAGTAAATAAATGGAATTTAAAAAATAATCTTGAAAGGACATTTGCTTATAGATCTCAGGTAATTAGGGATTTATATACCATATACCTCACCTCTCCAGTATGAATTATTTTCTTATCACATAAAAGCTAAAGCAGAAGGAGCATTAACTTTGAAATCAAACAGGCCCGAGTTCAAGTTTAGAGTCTGCCATTAATCACTAGTCATTCAAAACACACATCCTCAATGTCAGCATTGCACCGAACACAATAGTCTTCCAAATGTAATTTCCTTTCCCTAATGGAGAATGTGGGTCTTTTACAATTCTGGCATTTGGAAATGCTTATGACAAGCACTGTAAATGCATATTTATAAACTTATGTTTGACCACAAAAATCTACATTTTAACCAGAGAGCATTTATGAGAAATACTTTAATAAAAGTTTTCTGGTTTGCTGCTTTTTTTTAGGGGCTGGTGGCAAGAGGGAGAAGGCTAATTTGCCTTATTCTGAGATATATTTGAAGAAAATGATTTTTAAGCGACTAGGACTCTAGGTCTTTTCTAGACCATTTTCTCACTCTTCATAAAACCAAGAAAGCACAAACAAATAAGATAAAAATTCTTTAGGCATCTTTTGAAATACAGCTGCTTGGGGCTGGGAAGGTGGCTCAGTGGTAGAGTGCTTGCCTTGCATGCCTGAGGCCCTCGGTTGGATTCCTCAGCACCATGTAAGCAAAAAGAAAAAAGCCGGAAGTGGCGCTGTGGCTCAAGTGGTAGAGTGCTAGCCTTGAGCTGAAGAGCTGAGGGACAGCACCCAG